GGAAGAACCGTATTCAGGCAACGATGGTCGGAAGGATCACAGTCGGTAGGCGACAGAGATTAGAAAGTCCATAGTCGAGCGAAGGTGGTCGGAAGGATCATATTCGAGTAACGATGGTTGAAAAGACTGTATAGTCGGCAGGTGACAAAGTTAAGAATGACCATAGTCAGTAGACAGTCGTCAGAAGGATCATAGTCGGATAAAGGTGATTGGAATGGCCATAGTTAGTAGGCAATGAAGGCCATAAATACCATAGTTAGGCGACGATGGGACGATGGTCAGAAGAACCATACTAGTATGAAGGTGGATAGAAGGATCGTAATCGATAGGAGACGGTGGTCGTAAAGACAATAATCAGCCGACTAAGGTTGGAAGGACCATAGTCTAATGAAGGTGGTAGGAAGGACTATAACTAGTAGGCAACAGAGGTTGAAAATACTATAGTCGGGTGATGCTTGGTGGCTCGACAAAAGTCTGGGGACGACTTGTGGCTAGGGAAAAAGTCTAGCGACGGTCGGTGGTCGGGGGTAAATCTGACATCAGTTGGTGGTCGGGTGGAAGTCGGGCGACAATTTGTGGTTGCACATAAGTCCGACGGTGATTGGTGGCCGAGCATAAACCCGATGACAGTTGGTGGTTGGGCTAAAGTTTGACAACAACTGATGGTCAGATGAAAATCTGGTGACAATCGATGGCCTCTTAGAGAATAAAATAATGAACTGATTAATTTAAAGGAAATAGCCTCTTATAATTAATAACGTTTTAATATAAATTCAATTATTTACTTATAATTGATTAATAACTGTAACAGTATTTATTTCAGATAATTGATTAATTTAATGTTTTAGCCTCTTATAACTTGATTGTGTCTAAACTCTACTCATTTACACCCCTAATCAAAGGTTAAATAAAATAATGACATGATTAATTTAAAGGAAACATTAGCTAAGAAATACAAAGATTTGATTGTTGCTCAGTATATAATTTCCAAAGTCAGAACTATGTAAAGGATCTTTTCCTCAGCTATGAAGGCACGATTTAGTGTCCATCTAACTATAAAATAAACAATCAAAATTACTCTAGCCTTTACGTAGTAAACATTATGATTTTTTTTTTAGTCATGAGCTACCATAAACTCATATGATATATATTTATTGTAAAATACTTAAAAAAGATCTGACAGTGAAATCACCGTATTCACTCAATAAGGAAACCCCAGGAATGAGCAAATGTGCATATCATCACACAAATTGGAAATTTAGAGAACCTAAAATGAAGAGGTTGAAAACTTATATGGAGCTTCCTACCTCTTTTCACACACACCAGCTAAGAGGTCAGAGGTCTAAAAAAGTCTAAGTGCAAAATAAATAATGCACGGGTGACATATAATGGCAATAAATACGTCAAAAAGGGAAGAAGAACACTTACTGAGAAGTTCAATAGGCCAAAGTTTTCAGGAAAATAAAGTTGAGCCATTTCCAATGATAAGAAAAACCACGAAGTTTTCTCTTTAAATAAAGAAATAATCACATATGGCCTGAAAATCACAAAAAACTAAAATAAATAAGTCATTTAGTATGTTTTGAAAATTACAATTCAAATTGTTTTGATAAGAGAAAAATAACAAGGAATAGCCACCTCCGCATGAATATCACATAATGCTTTTAAAATCAACACACAGGTTAGTGGTTCAAGATTCTTGTACATCTCAACCTCGGTACTAAACATAATCATAACTCATAGCGTGACTTGTATTTACCATTCAAAAAAGATTCATGAGTTAGCAAAAAGTACCCATGTGATGCAACTATCGGTATCTCCTCATCTTCTACCTACAATAATAATTAGATCTTAGCTAGTAATTTATAGCAAGTGCTAATCATAAAGATCATCACTTTCTCTAAGTGTAAGAAATAAGCAATTAAGCCATTAGCTTAGGGTAGCATACCCAATGCCACCAATCTTTTGTCTTCTTGCACAAAACTGAAAACTAAGTTGCCCGACCTAAAGCCACGTGGATAACAGGTGGATAGCCTGATAACATTTACAAAAATGAGTAATAAACTAATTTTAAAAAGTTATGAGCAAACAACTAAATGAGATAATCCATTAAAAAGTAGGAAGCTGTAACCATAATTAGAGAAGATATCCTACTGGAGAAGACAACAGAGCAGAAGAAGAAAATCTAGGGGATGCCGAACAGATGCGAAGACGAAGGCGAAAGCATAAGCTTTATTACCTAGAATATGAAGTGAATGAGAAGCTTGGCGAATTCGGGCCAATGCGAAATTTATTACATTAATTTAGCAGCGGAATATGAAACGAATGCTTATTATATATCTTCTCATTCGAATAGGAAATGAATGCCCACTTCTCCGAAATCAGAATACGAAATGAATTCGCAAATAAGCAAATAGGAGTAATGACAATTAATATACAGTTGTTTGAAATGAATACTTTTTACAGTTATTAATCAATTATAAGTAAAATAATTGAATTTATATTAAAA